CCCCCCCCCCCCCCCCCCCCTTCCAAAAAAAAAATCCTCATTCTTGGCTCCACCCCTGCTAAGCAACCCCTACTCAATGGATAAAATCACCTCTTAGGAGGCAACCACAATGTTTGAAAGCCAAGTTTCTAAGTGTACTCCTGGTAACTAAGAAATGTGACTTTGATAACACATCCCAATTCATTCATATGATTTGGATAGGCTTCCATTTTTCTTATGAACTTGACTATTCTTTACCATAAACTTGATATAGCTTTCTTTTTATTTCATTATATGGACATATGAGTTTAAACATAACCCTATTAATTCAATATGGTCAAAGGACTTTGTACATACCAATCATATGACATTGAGACAGCAGGTACACCATTGAAAAATGCCTCTCGAGCACCTGCTACTGTCCCTGAGTAAATGCTGCATTTTCAATGAGAGATCCAAATTAATTGTCAACCAGTGTAAAAAAAACCAGCCAAAAGGCCACATACAAGAGACTAAAAGACAACTAATTGACCAAACAATAACCTCTGTTTTAGCACCTTGTTCCGATAAGGAAAAAAAAACAGCTAATAATATAGCAACTTATGTAGCTGCATTGGCTATACAGGAAATTTGAGATATGTTCATAACCTAATCAGCACTATTTGAACTATCACAATAAGAGAATTATTGTGTTGTATTTCTCATAATCCAAAGGCACAGAATCACATTAATAACAACAATAAATGCTGTGAATACTCATATGTATCTACACATTTGATTTAACGAGGAACATCGTAGCATTGCTTTGATACGTGCAGGGAAACATGACATTTGGAACGGGCTCTTCCAGCTGAAACAACAAATCATAAAAAAATCCAAGCAGAATAGAAGAAATTACTAACATGTGATAACCACAGTTGCTACCCATATTTATGCCACTGATTACCTGTGAGCAGAGATGAAAATATTAGCAACTTAAAAAAAAATAAGAATAATATGCACCACAATCTGTAGAATAGCTCTAATAGATGATGGTTGTCCAACAAAGTGACCTCTGAAAATATTATGAGAGAAAATGAAGTTCAGAGTAAGCATGCCCATTTAACAACAAATCTGGTATTGATCCAAAGGTGTCCAACATGCATCCACAAGTGAAAAGAAATATAGTACCATGGTCATGTGCACAGTGAGCAAGACAGTAGCACAAAACAAAATGCTAAACATTTTAGGTGAAAGCTGCCCAGTAAATTAATTGCTGACATTTTCATGTTACAAGCAGAAACACGTGTTACCAGATCAGGAACCAAAGGGAAAAGTGCTTTGGAGGTACCCAGAGAAGTGCAGTCTGCTGGAGTTCCTGCAAAGCATATATTACAAAACCATGATATAAATGCAGTATCAAGACGAATCTGTGACTCAGATGAGAATATAGATCCACTTTAGACTATTTATCAGAAAAAAAGACTCAAACTAGACTTTGCATGGAGGAGTTATCAGCTATGTCATACTTTGAATGAGAAGTGTTTACACACACTGTATGTTTGGGTGATGGATGTGAAAGGGAGGTAGTCATCAAACACAAGGATCAGAAGGTGATCCAAAGCTCTTTCCTAGGAACTCAGTAACATGGCCAGCCAGGTCAGCAGGAAACGAGAAAGATAGATCTAGTCGCCTAGCCAGGGAGGGATATTCTCCAGCTCCACTCCTTGTTATATTTATAGTTGAAAATAGAGTGGAAAACTATGCTTCAAAATCAAGCCCAAAAAAATGATCCTTTTGAAAGTTCCTACTGCTTTCTTGATCCATTCAAGTCATGAAAATTATAAGTTCTCATTTTTAATAGAGAAGACTCCATTCTAAATGCCGAAAACAAAGTTCAATTTCTATTAGACATACTGTTGTACTATGGCTTCAATTTTTTTTAGGAACCTATCAGTCATGATCTGACCTTTGGATTAATAAGACAGTGAGCAAAAAGTCACAAAGGTCACATAAGGACCAGGTCAAGTACTGCAAATTGAAGGTCACAGTGGAAATGGTAATCATCATACTTACCTAAAAATTCACATAGTATTGAATATTGAATGTATTGCTTCATTTTGATTTGTCCTAGGCATGTATACTCGGTAACAATCCGTATCCTCTGGGCAGTAGTGCATTGAATATGAAATTTTGTGTAGAACCGAAACTTACCGCTTAGGATATGTCCAATTTTAAACAGAACTTCTAGATCTGGAATGGAATGTGACCTGAGCTTGGTACTGTATTATTAAAAGTTTCGCAATTAAGTCAAAGCATGGTTCAAAGTCGCAGTATCGGCCCTTGATTCGGAGGCCACTGAGACACATCGGTCGTGACGTTGCGGCGTAGTATCGGCCGATATGCCCAAAACACTATATAGAAGGCTCAAAAAATTTTGAAAAAATTAGAAAAAATTGTAATAAATATAAACATCATCATCTATGTATCATATCCCTAAAAGGCATTATTTTAACAAATTAATCATTGCAAAAAAGAATAATAAGTATGTTATAGGAAAATATTTATTATCATCTATATTCAAGGATAATATAATATAATTTGTAATATTTAAAAATTATAAAAAAATATGTGTATATATATGGTTAACTTAATAGCTTTAAAAATAAAAATCTATTTATAAAAAAATTCTTCATGTAATATGTATCTGATTAGAAATTATATGTATTTTCTCCATAATGCACATTTAATTATTAAATCATCAATACATATACAAAAGCAAACTTAAGAAGTTAAATTCTAATTAGATTGTATGATAAATATTAAAAATTATATAATTTAAAAAATTGGGCCAAAACAGAAAAAACAAAAAGAAAGGGGGGGAGAATAAATTTTTAGATCTTTTAGGCCAAAGCCTCCCGTATTTTGACCCAAAAAAAAAAATTCTCCTCTCTCTTCAACTCTTAGTCTTCGACAAACAGAGAGAGAGAGCACAAAGACGATGGGTCTGGGAGGCTCGCTGGTCGCTGAAGGCTCACTAGGAGGCTCGCTGGTCGCTGAAGGCTCACTGGGAGGCTCGCTAGGGTTTCTGCAATTGATTTGCAATGTTGATCAATGATGCTGAGTCCTCTGCTACCGCGAAGAAGAAGGAAAGTAAGAACAAATAGCAGAAAAGGGTCTCTAATTAGGGAGATTTACCATAATTTTTTAGGTTTGTGTTCAATTTTGTTCTAACTTACTTGTTTTGCTTTTATTATGGTAAAAAATGGTCTGATTTAGAGTTCAATTTCTCATATTTTTGCCCTTTTTTTTGGCATTTTCTTTGTTGCTTGAAAATTGGTGGACGATTTTGTGCATATTAGTTCGATTCGAAGTGAATCGGCCGAGTTTGTCCGAGTTGAATCCAAGTTTGTCCAAGTTAGACCGAGTTGGCCCGAATCAGACCCGATTCATGATAGACTCGTGATAATCTTGTATCGTGTATCGTTATCGGATCGATGCCTGCTGAGGCGGATACGACTCGCCGATACTTTGAACCTTGAGTCAAAGTATCAGATTGTAACAGCATACATATCGACCATTATCATCAAGATATCATTAGTAAGGGAAGTACAAAAGAAGGCTAAGAAGTAGCTACCCCTTTCTATAGTAATTCTTCCATCAGGAGTATCATTTTAAACCTTTTCAGTTCCAACCTAGATTACATAGCAGGAGCGGGAGCAAGAGCGCGAGAGTGCCAAATTTAAAAAAAAAAAGTAGAGAGCAGAAGCATCACTAAAAGCATCAAATTTATATACACAGCATAGTGAGACACATGGGAAAAGAGGGTGGTTAAGTCCAAAAATGAGAAATAGAAATAAGAAAAGCAAATTTGCTTTTAGAGCAAAATTTTGATCCCACATTGGTAGAGGATCTCTACATTGAATGGGAAGACAGCCAGTAAATAGGACAGAAACAGAAACAAGAAAAGCACAATTGCTTTTAGAGCAAAATTTTGATCCCACATCGGTAGAGGACATCTGCATTGAATGGGAAGACAGCCATTAAATAGGCCATAAACAAGAAAAGCACAATTGCTTTTAGAGCAAAATTTTGATCCCACATCGGTAGAGGATCTCTGCATTGAATGTGAAGACAGTCATTAAATAGGACAGCTGTAAAATGCTTTGGTAAGTGATTGGACCTCAATTTAGATTGGAAATTGGGCAAAGATCCAAGCTCATTAATTAGTTATAAAATTTTTTGTAACAGTGGAGTGGTGGACTCCCTAGTGTTTAATTCACGGCTTCATTTTTTTGAATCCGCGGATTAGTGCTGAATCTGCTTTGAATTTGCAGATTTGAGTTCAGAGCATGAGTTTGTTGTGGCATCTGAACGAATTATGTGATCTAGGTTCCAACCCTAAGGATTATAAACTTCAAACTTTACAAAAAACTTATACATAAGGAATGATATATCAAAGGAGTAAATTATAAATTGTTTTTGTACCTGGAAAGCTGGACACGATTATTCAGCTAGAAAATTCGAAACGAAAATGAAATGTGATGTTCCATTTGCCATAAGCATGTGAGGATCCTTAATCTTGTAGCTATAATACGGTAAGTTCAATCAATATTATTAACTGTGCCAGCCAACAGCAATGTTGATTGCAAGTTCATATAGATCTTTCACTAGAACAAAGCATGTAATATATTAACTTCGTTTTCTAGTCAATGCAATCTAGTCTAAGAATGTCATATTGTCACTGCCCAGGGTCTAGAGCACAGTAATATGATTCCTCATATTAGAAAACACAAATATGGAAGATGGGGGATATTAAGTGAAGTTGGCAACAAACCAGAAATTGCAAAGGCTGTTGCTCCACTGATTTCTACTCGCTTGACGGAAAGAGGATTACGCCAAGTAATACCGTGACTGACAGCTGACTTTTCCCTGTAATAGATAGAATGAGGATAGAAGAAATGACATGAGTCTACCGCTGCAAAGCTACTTTCAACATATTAATGTATAAGATCTCTTATCCTATAGGTAATCAACTTAAAACAATAGGAAAAGCAATATTCTCCATTGTGCCGCATTGCCAAACTAGTCCTCCTGCTGATTCTAATTGGCTAATACGAACCATAACCAGGGTACTAATATAAGTTACAAAGGGTGAGTATGACTTTCAATAACTCCCAAGATATACGTTCAGAAAACTACAATTGTTGCTAATTGTTTGGGACTAAATCTGGTAGCCAGTCCGACATCCAACATTGTGAATCATCATGATGGGATGGATAAGAATTTTAAAATACAAGATAATGTCCTCAACAAACTGAAAGCTTGAAACTGGGATGGAAAACTAAAGAGGCATTTTTAAGATTATTTACTGATCCTAAGGAGAAATGCTCTTTTTGTGCTTCCAAGCTCAGTGATAGTATGAATTTTACGAATTCTTAAAAGCCATGAACTAG